TTCAAGCACCCTCCAAACGGGTTCAATTATTGGACATTCCCAAGTATGTGGTAGACTCCCTGAACACCAGGTCCAAGTTTTGATTGTACCTCAACTGAAGCCCGGGACCCTGAACCCCCTGACTGAAACCCGTGACCCTTCAAATGCCGGGGAATGCTGGGATCCCCTGGGCCGCTGGGACCCCTTGGGACCTTCGGGACCCCTGTGCCCAGTTCCACGCGAAATCTCCGCGTTCGCTCCCAGGAAGGGCGTGAAGGCGGCGGTGAACCGCCGCTACGAGACCACCAAGGAGGACTTCATGAGGCACGACTTTGAGTGGAAGCTGATTGAGATATGCATATATACTATGTCATGTACCATGTCATAGAAATAGCCTTGCACGCAGACATGCATGTGTAATATATATATACACATATATATATATATATATATTGTCCTCTACCCTGGTGGGGGGATGCACAGTTGAGGGTGATTTGGATGCTGCTTCTATCACGGGACACTGGGCTTGAGCTTGCTGAAAGTACGCAACGTGAGCACCATGTGCGACACGCTTGACAAACTTCAACATCAACAGTCATGACATGTCGGTTGTTGCACTAACTGCGGAGCGCCATTTGCAGCGTGCTTGACGCGCCCGCGCCCGTGCAAAAGCGACAGTGATTTGACCGATTCGCTTGGCATGGCTCCTTCGCCACGTGAGCACCACGTGTTCGTGGAGTTATGCGGGGAGTTTCGGTCTTCCCGCACGTGACGCGCGGCGCTGCCTTTGCGTGCTGCATGACATCGATTTCAGATTCAAGTTTCTTATCAATCCCCCACAAACGGGTAACATCAATACTCTGATTTGTTCTCATGCCGAAGTGCTGCTACATTCTGTACAGATTTACATCACGTTGCCGGTCCCCGGCGTGCCGGTGCACACCCTGCCCACAACCACTCCACAGAAGCGGAAGGTTTATCATGACGGTCAGGCATGACGGTCAGGGTGGGGTGCCATAAAACCTGGAATGTATGTACATATGTGTATATATATACATACATATGCACGTGTGACCCTTTGATCAGCATGACTATCATGATGCATCCGTTGCCACGGGCGCCTTCCTGAGAGCAAAGGGGGGGCAGATCTCTTGTAAGTCTGCAGAAATCACTTAGCGCTTGGTGGCAAAAAGGCATTGCTCAGATTGCAGCGGGTTTGCAGCAATGCTTTCCCCATTGGCCGACGTCTTTCACATTTTCACTTTTCATTCTTAGAGCGGCACCTTGGTCGTTGCCAGGCAACAGGAGCAGAGCGCTGCAAAGCAGTTTGTTTCATGCCTTGCGCGGGTCCCAGAGAGAACACCACCTGAGAATGATTATGTATGGATGATTGTGCCTGTGCGCTTATGCCACGCGCACAGCCATCGCCTTTGCGTAGTTAAATATAGGTCTGTTTAGGCATGTGTGAACCGTGGCCTTTTGTCAGATGCGAGGTCAGCAACTGTCGCAACATGCAGATCGGCCGTGCAGATGATGCGTTCGCTGCACCTCTGGCAAACTTGCGCGACATTGTGCAAATTGGCAGAAGAGAGAAGGTGTGTGGCATTCCACAGTCTTGTGCAAGTTGAAATCCGAAGGGGGAACTGAGTCAAGCATGTCAAAGCATTCCTGCTTTTGAGGCGCAGGCCCGTATGGTCTGTCGGCATATACCCTATTTCCCTGACACATGTTGTTGAATTCGCATATTCGAGTCAGGTTCTTATGAGCAGAGTGCGGTTTGGCAATCCGCTGCGCATGGCGTTTCCGTTTTTGGGCAGACGCTGGTAGGCTCCCAGAGCGGAAGCAACACCTTTGCATGCAAGTGGTCGCTTGTGTTGAACATATTTCAGGAAACACCGACATATTTCTAGAACGCACCTGAGTTGGGATGGACAATGGGAAAACCCTACAATACCAGAGCCAGCTTCCATCATCAGCCTGTGAAAAGCCAGAAATGCTGCGACAAGAATTGCGATTTCCGATCCGGAATCCAAACAGTTGCGGTTGGTGGCGTTGTATTTGTCCAACTGTTTTCAGTCCCCTGGCCGTGAGTTCTGTCGGCCATGAAGCTGGTTCCTAAGCCCTTTTCCTGATGCCAGGCATTCAAGGATCTGGAACTGAGTCAGCAGGCGCGCTGCGCATGTGATTCAGAACAGGCCGTGGATGAATTTGCTTGATGTGACAAGTTGGATAAATATCCTGCCTCGCTATAATGCACCGTTCAAGAATATTCCTTTAATGCACATCTGGGGCTGGGAGCAAACACTGCGGCATTGATGTTAGACGTTGGTTGTTGGCGCCACGCGCACATTGCAATCCAGGTAGAAAGGTTGACACGGCCAAGCACATTTGAGCTCTGCTCCATGCGACGTACAAGCCACGTTTCGGTCAGACTGCGCTTGAACAACACGATAGATGGGGCCTGCAACAGCTAGTTTTGCTAGAAGCACTTTCCGCCACATTTGACTGTGGCGCTATGATCTCGAGGGGGCTCTGGGGAAAAGTTGGGGGCATTCGGCAAACAACATGGGAGGTTGTTTTGTGAAGGCGGCCTGGCGGCCTGGGAAGCGGGGGGTGAGTCGGGAGGCGCAGCGGCACAACGCGGAGATCCTCATGGAGAGCCGCGCCTCCACCAAGGTCGACGCGGAGCGCGCGAAGAGGCGCGGTCCCGAAGGGTCGGGTGGAGTGGGGGGTGGGGGGGTCAGGGAGGGGAAGGGGGCCCTTTGCTTTTACCCCAAGCGGTTTGTAGGGCCCGAAAACCAAAAAAGACAGTTTAGGGTTGGACAAAACAGGGTCCCCGAATAGTGGTGGTGGTAGGTGCTGGTGTTCGAAGGTGTCCAAAGGGATGAACTTGCATGCATGTTCTTTGGAAGTTCTTCGCTTGCCCACTGCCGGCATTCTCCAACGCTTCAGAGCCATGGCCAACTTGACGGGCACGCTGACATGGGATTCATTCGTTATTTGTGAACGCTTCGCACTGCTCGCCTCGGGCAGTATCAGCCCGATCTTTTTTTTTGCTTTGAAGTACCGTGTTTTGGTTTGCCTTGAAGCACCTTTTGTTCTGAGTGAATGAGTCGGCTCCGAAATGGGGAGCTGGCTTCCAAAATGCATCACGGTGCATGTTCATACGTTTTGTATGGTTCCAAGGACCGCAGTCCAAGGGCAGTGGCCGGGCTAGGGGCGGAATTGCCGTCCGGGCCAGATCCACAGGTTGTTTGGAAGATCCCGATGATCTAGAGAGGAATCTGACCACTTCCCGGCCCTGCGAGGTTTCATAAGTTCTGTCAATTGGCTTCAATCGGTCATTCTCCGCACATCGGCGCTGCAAAGGCTCGTAGGCTAGCCATAAGACTGGAGTCGAAGGTTAAAATTCCCAAATAAGCTAGCTTTTGCATGATTGATGAGCCATCACAATATTTGGAAAAGCGCCACGCGAGTGGCATTTTGGGCACAGATAGTGTGTCGCGCCTTAAGCGATGGGCCCAGCGAGTGGCAAGCTCAGGGGTTGGATGCTCATGGAGGAGCCATCCTGGGTGGAATGAGGCAGAATTAGGGGTCGCTTTTGACCATAACGGCATCTAGAGGGGCCTCGCATGTTGATAGCCATTGGGCTTGGGTGATACGATGCTGTTGTTGCAAGCTTTACATTGCCAATGCTACGTCGGCGGCTTCTTCCCAACGATTGATCAGAAATCCGTGCTTTATTGAAGTTGAAGTAGTGCTTGGCGCCAGAAGCAGATTTTGACAAAAAACGTTGCAGCTTGCCCAGGAAAAGCCCTCCATGCGGCCCATGCTTGAATAGCCTTGAACGAAACCGCTGGGCCAAAGGGGCCAGTGCCAGCTTTCGCAGCCTTTTCTGCTCGTCGAGCCTGACGCGTGGCCAGTTTCAGTTTCAACAGCAGGTGGGACTGGGTTTGCAGTGAATGTCTATAGGTTTGCTTGGGCAGGCGCTGTGTCGCTGCGGTTCGCTTGGCCAGGTGCCATGACAATGGACGTTGTAACCTATCAGGAGGACCGCCTCGCGGATGTGCCTTGGAGAAAGTGAGATGGGGGCACGGGAAAAGCTTCACACGGAGTGTGACACGACCTGGGTTTGTGACCCAAACGGCTGATTCTGAGAGGCACTGGCACTGTGCCTGGTTATTGTGCCAAGCTTGTTTTTGCTCACTTTCTGAATGACCCTGCCTGTCTATGGACTGGATTACCCGGTTTCTCTTTGGCTGGCTTGCCTGGCCCTGATTTTGCATTAGCATATTTTTTTTGCATGGCTACTCTTTGATTCGTTTCGTTCCACGTTTCGGACCGCTTAGGCCATGTCAACCATCAGCGATGTGTTGAACAACATCCGGCGACTGCAGACGACGGAGTGTACGGGCGAGAAGGCGCTTGGCTGGCAGATGGGTTGCAGCAACGCAACACAGCGACACAGAAAGTCAGAGGAGAAACCGAGAACTGTATTTGCTTGCCTATACAACTCTCTTCCACTCTTCTTTCGCCGCTGTCTCGATATTTTTTTCTTTCTTTCTCCTTCCTTGGTTCCTTCCTTCCGTCTTTCTTTCGTTTCTTATTTCCTTCCTTTGTTTCCTTCTCTCCCTCTCTCTGTGGTTGAGCGCAGCTGGCCCTTTCCGCAGGTGGACCTCAACGACGCGCACAACGCACCTTTGGCTGAGGGGAAGCGGTCGCAGTTGGAAGTCGCGACCATTTCTCGCCGTTTGAAGTGAAGGCGAAGTGTTTCTAGGGGTACCTTCCCCATTCTTTCCAGAAATCCTTCTTTTCAGGAAACCAGCAAACACCCAGGGGAAACAGCCGGTTTTTGAAAAGAACGATGGTTGAAAAGAATGGGGAATCCCTAGAGTGTTGCTTTTGTGTTGCCCGCTGTTGTTCATCATCGTGGGCACTCAAGCCAGCATTAAGATGCTTCCACGACATGCGCGGCCCAGATCGCGCAGATCGTCCAGGGTGTCGGCTTCATTGGGCTGGCCATGTGGCTTATCTTCGCGAACAACTCGAAGGCAAGCCCGCAAAGATCACCTTTTGTTCTCTGGCGGTTGGTTCAATGAATGTGCGTCGCAGGTGGCGGTGGCCCAGAAGCATAGCTGCAGTGCGCTTTCTTTCCAGCTCCTTTCTCGCTTCTTCGCTTCTTCGCTTCTTTTGGGGGTCTGTCACAATTGCACCATAGACCTGGCTTGACTATCGGGGGTTCAGGACAGCTTTGCACTCGACTTTGGTTCCTCCAGACATGTGAGCTTCGGTTTCATCAGAAGGCCTCAAGCGGAGATCTGGTGGACTTTTGGCTGCGAAGTATTTTAGAACAATACAATGGCTGGTGGACGCAAATCCCCAGTCCAAGGGTCCCGAAATTAAGATTCATGCCCAGAGAAGCAAGCCGTTTGAACCAAGGAAGGCGCCTTTGGAGCAACGCCACGCAGTTTGCATCTCGTCCGACGATCCTGAGACTGGTTTGCGCTGTTCGGGGGACATGGGGTCTGGTATGTTCCCTGTGTGCGCACTCCCCATGTACATTTGGGTCACTTGTATCCATGTCAGCATTCTCAGCTGACCCAGACAAAGAGTTTTCCTTCTTGTAAGAAGCCACGACTGCCAAGTCGTTTGGGGTGAAGGTTATGACAAACAAGGCGACCCGCTGCCTTTGCTTCTTCTTCATTGCAAAAGCAGCCCCCTTTGTTGGTTGGGGGGTCAGCATGGAGCCTTGGGTTCGTTGGAGCTTCGAGGTGCCACCATCAGCACAGCTGTGGCGCTGTTCTCTGGATTCTTCAACATCTTGCAGCTCACTGCGAGCCGCACCAAGCAATCAGAGGGTTGGAATGCAAGGCACAAGCCTCGGTAGAGGTTTATTTGCGCTCGGTCTTGATGTGCTGTTATTGGCGGATCTCCAAACTTGTCATCATGAAGTAGCTTCATGGCTACCCCAAAGGCGCAACGGGTTTGGTCACCCCCGCTGCAGGTGCCTCCCAGACCTTACTCTGCTCCGAGGATTGACGACTTCGATTTGCCCGGCCGAGAGAGCACCTTCACGCTGAACTTGTGCCTGGGTCTGCTCTTGTATGTGTCAGAGTCAGATGGACTCGACGATGTGTTCTCACGGGTCGCTCGCCCAATGTCTACCCCAAAAAGGGTGCTTGTTCCTGGACGCGCCAGACGGACTGAACAGCAGGTCTTTGGATCAAAGGTGAGACATATACAGTGATCTTTCATGCATGCCGCTAGTTCTTGTACCTTGTTGCGTGGCATTTTGGCCAAGTCTTCCAGTGTTCACCATTGGCTCAAGCTGACTTTTGCTTGTTGTGGGAGATCCTTCTGCCGTAGTTTGTTTTTCGTAGCCGCCTTGTTTCTTAGGATAAACTTATCTCACCACCAGCGGTCCTGCGAGACTTTTTCGAAGGTCCCGGCCTGTGGAGTGGATCGCCACGTGCCCCATCATGCAGCTGAAGCTGGTGGTCCTGGCAGGCGCGCGACGACGCGACGACATGGGGTGCCCAAGAAGGGGTCCATAGTTTTGACAACCGCCCCTCGCTTTTCTGGAAAGGTATATATATATATAATAGCTATTTGTTCCATGCTTCAAGGCCAACAACCAGACCTTCACCGACAAACTCATGAGTGCAAGGGTAAGCAGCTGCATCAAAATTGAGCAAAGGTGTCGTTTGGCCTTCGATTTCAAGCAAGAACATGCTCAAAGCAATGTGTCTTTCGCCAAAGCAAGCTGGCGAAATGCAAAGCTTTGGGGATCCCCGGTTAAGCCTGCGCACCTTGTTTTGGCCTGGCAGGCGCCCGCGTTCCCAGCTACCGGCGCTTCATGCGGCTCGCTCGCACCTGGGTGGAGCCGGGGTTTGGACAAGCAGAGTCAAGGCTCCAGAAGCGCGCCTATTCCGCACAGCACACTTCCACCACACCCCAGACCCACACTCGCCCGCATACGCATACGGAAACGCGTCCGCATATATACACATGCAGATGCATGCGCACAGGGTACGGGCTTCCGACTATCCAACCAACTTTCTGCCCGGCTGACAGATTTCCAGTCTGGGAAGCGGACTGAGGATGCCACTCCTCTCGGTGGCGGTGCTCCTTTGTGGTACCGCCTCCATGTTCACAGGACTGTGCTGAGGCACTCAGCGTATCTAGGGTGGAACTCTCATGTGGACTATGAAAGATCATTCGAGATTCCAGTTTCCAGGGCCAAACGCATTGAACCCCCCCTGAGTAACTTCAAGCTCGGCACTGCCCGACTTACGATGACCTTCCCCCTCACAAGCGGCAGGTCCTCCGAGCAGTGTTTGTTCCCATCATTGCATTGTGGGATTCCCATGATCCTTTTGCAACCTTTCGGATGCAGAGGGCGCGCTTTGGAGGAACATGGGCCATAGTGGGGGTGAATGGCATTGGCGCAGCTGATAAGGTCCGGTTATGCGAGAGGGAAACTGAGGGATCAGGGTGTTGGTTGAAAAGGACCAACCCTGTTGGTTCGCGTGCCTGCATCCATGCATTCGATTGAGGAGACGCGCTGCGCTTTGCTTGGCCTCCTGGCGGCATACTGTAATTCTCGAAGGGACTTGTCGTTCTTTAGCTCTCTACGAATGCTTGGAGATTTAAAGCTTCAACGACTGTATGCGTGCATGTGAGGCTGTCAGGCCTTGCATGTGTTGCCAAGGTATGGCTTTGGTATGATCTTGGCCTTCATCATGTTCTTCCACAACGGAGCAGACCTCTCAGCCTGAGAGTGAGACCTTTGCATCGGGTCCAGGGCTTCGTCACCAGACCTCATGTGGATATTCCCATATTCCGTTCCCCGGACCCGCTCCCCAGTCCGAGAGCCGAGTTGCAAATCAAAGAGAACAGCGAGGGCGAGGAGTCTTGGTTTCAAGGACTGGGAGCCGCCAGGATCGGACTTGACAATTCCACCTCGGGGAGCCATCCAGACGCTACACATGATGTGATTTGCGGCCGACGACTTTGTGGCACTGAATATTGCCTTCTTGGCAGGGCTTCCAAACCAGTCTTTAAGATAGCTGATGCGCTCTGGGGTTTGGCTTGCGATTCCCAACAAAACCTCCCAGATTGGAGGGACAAGCGGCTGGTTGAAAAACACAGGGGGGCAAGCGTGCCCATGGGCTGCCAACGTGCAAATCAGCAAGGCTCGCTTTGCCTCGGAGGAGACTCCGACTTTCGCAAGCTCTCCATCCTGCTGGTCGTCACTTGGTTTCCGTTCCCGATTTGGTTCAGTTTGAGCCAGGAACTCAGCTTGTCAGAGTTGGGGGTTGTAGCTAATATATATATATATATCCCCATGGACCCAGGCCTCCTGATGAAATACTGCAAAATACCGTGTTTGTGAGCATTTGTCATACTTTTGTTGTTTGCCAATGGACAAAAAAGGGGTCGAGATGAGCATAAACTCACTAAAACACTAGATCCCTAAAACAGAATGTTGTACTAACACTTGGAAGTGTTCCCCACCAAACTGAAGATTGAAGATTGCACAGAATGCTGTTTTGTGAATTTTCAACCCTGACCACCAAACACCTTCAATCACACCAAGTTTTTTTTTTGTTGCCTGGATCGAATTGAAGATTGAACATTGGACAGAGCACTTTTTGGAGAATCTTCAATCTGGACCAGCCCCAACAAACTTTGACGTTCTTCTAACAGCTTTATAGTTGTTTTTCCACAGGAATTCACAAACAACTGTGCAACTTTCAAACTTCGATCCAGGAGAAACAACACGTGTTGTAGGGACTTGGTCAGGATGGAAGATTCTCAAACATGTGGCCTGGACAATTTTCAATCTTCTATATTTGATCCACGGGAAAAACTTTGACAGTTTGCTTCCCCACTTCAACGTTTTTGTGAGGAGGATTGAAGCTTCCCAAACAACATTTTTGGGCAATCTTCAATCTAAAAACATAGTAAGGTTTTTAGAACAACTTTGGAGCTTTGGGGCTTTCGTCTTTGAACTAAGTTATGTTCATGTCAACCTTTTCTTTTTTAAAGGGACAACAAAGGCATGAACCATGCCTTGCAAAATCACTGTATTTCAAGGCCTTCGGCCCGCCGACATTACAGGCCTGCTTTCTTATATGTGTCTTACAGGTGCAGTGCCCAGGAGAAACCCGATTTGGAAAGGGGCCTTTGGTTTGGCCATAGCAATGAGCAGAGATGGATGTGACACAGTGGGGGCGAATCGTTTTCTTACATGTGTTTCACACGTGCAGCGCTGTAGCAATGGCAATGGCGAGGAGGCTGTGTGTGTGTGTGTGTGTGACGGACGGGGGTGCTGCTGATGTGTCCTCCTGATGCTTCTTGTTCCCGAATGCGTAGCATAGGGTTCTTGTTCATCTTGGGGGTCTGGGGGTGAAGCCTTGTTCGCCGGATGTTGGCAACCGTCCGCGTCCGCAACCGTTCGCAACCGGTCGCAACCGTTCGCAACTGTCCGCAACCGTCCGCAACCGTTCGTATGATTGCGCTATGGCTTTCCCCCAGTGGGGAAGCGCAGAGCGCGTGAGTTTTCATGACTTGTGATGTGCTGTTTTCGTTGGCCTGTGCGCGAATCGTAGCTTCTCAAGCTCGACGTGTCGTTTCGCTGCGCAGGCGCTGTGTTTTGGAAGTCTGCGTGTTCTCGTTGCCGTGCCAGTGGGATTTGCGATCCAGGGGTGGTCGTTTTAAGGTGTCCTGCTTGGCAGATAGTGTTTGCGCCGGCGCCGTTTCGTTGGCCCTGTCAGGCGAGCCTGAAACATGTCAAAATTGGTCGAAGTCATTCTGGCGCCACAGTCCCGCGCTAGTTTTGGACGCGTGTCGTAAACGTGTCAAAGTTGGATTTCGTGGCAGGTCCAGCAGTTTGGATGATTTTGAGTTTGTGGCAAGCTTACTTTGCGTGACAGGCGCAGCGCTTTCGAGCGTGTTGGTTGAATTTCGTGGCAGGCGCGACACTTTGGAGCTTTTCGTGCAAATTTCGTGGCAGGCGCAGTACTTTGGCGCCTGGATGTAGATTTCGTGGCAGGCACGTCACTTTGACTCAGCGAGATCGCTATCACTGTCGCGCGGTGCACATTTTGAGGATGCGAAGCGAACCGTCTGCGCACTTTGGGTGGGTCGCTCTCGCTGTGGTGCGGTGCGCGTTTTGAGCGCGCCTGGGTGTAGAACGTCACTTTGACTCAGCGAGATCGCTCTGGCTGAGACCGCGAAGCGAACCTTTTGCGTACTTTGGGTGGGTCGAATCGCTCTCGCTGTGGCGCGGTGCGCATTTTGCGCATGCGAAGTGCACCCTCTGCGCCGACTGGGTGGGTCGAATCGCTCTTGCTGTGGCGCGGTGCGTATTTTGAGCGCGCAAAGTGAACCCTTTGCGCACTTTGGGTGGGTCGAATCGCTCTCGCTGTTGATCAGAAGTGTTGCTTAGAAGTGTCGATTAGAAGTGTTGCTCAGAACTAGCTCAAAAAGTGTTGCTCAGGGTGTCGCTCATTGCTCAGAGGCGTCGCTGCTCATGTCACTGAGATATGTGTGTAGACATGTTGCTCGAATTGTCGCTCAGGCAGCAGTGTTGTTACATGTGTGTGTGTGTTTGCTCAGAAGTGTTGCTCGGAAGTGCTGATCAGAAGCATCGGTCAGAAGTGTTGCTCAGAACTGTCGACCAGAGGTGTCGGTCAGGGGTGTCGATCAGCAGTGTCGAATCAGCAGTGTTGCTCAGAAGTGTTGCTCGGAAGTGTCGGTCGGAAGTGTGGATCAGAAGTGTTGACCAGAAGTGTCGAGCAAAAGTGTCGATCAGAAGTGTTGCTCAGACGTGTCGATGAGCAGTGTGGATCAGAAGTGTTGATCAAGTGTTGCTCCCTCAGAAGTGTTGCTCCCTCAGAAGTGTTGCTCCCTCAGAAGTGTTGCGCAGAAGTGTCGCTCTGAAGTATCGATCAGAAGTGTGGATTAGAAGCATCGGTCAAAAGTGTTGCTCAGAACTGTCGATCATGGTGTCGGTCAGAGGTGTCGATCAGCAGTGTCGAATCAGCAGTGTTGTTCTGAACTGTGTCAGAAGTAATGCTCAGAAGTGTTGTTCAGAAGTGTCGATCAGAAGTGTTGCTCGGAAGTGTCGCGCAGAAGTGTCAGTCTGATGTGTTGCTCAGAAAATTGACTTCAGCAGTATTGCTCAGAAGTGCCGCTCAGAAGTGTCGATGAGCAGTGTGGATCAGAAGTGTTGACCAGATGCTCAGAACTGTCGATCAGAAGTGTGGATCAGAAGTGTCGATCCGAAGTGTGGATCAGAAGTGTCGATCAGAAGTGTCGCTCAGAAGTGTCGCGTCGATGAGCAGTGTGGGTCAGAAGAGTTGGCCAGAAGTGTTGCTCAGAACTGTCGATGAGAAGTTTGGGTCAGAAGTGTTGCTCATCAGTGTCAATCAGAAGTGTGGCTCAGCAGTGTTGCTCAAACTGTCGATCAGAAGTGTCTCAGAAGTGCGGATCAAAAGTAAAAGTCGATCAGAAAAAGTGTTGCTCAGAAGTGTTGCTCAGAAGTGTCGATCAAAAAAAGGTGTGGTTGAGAAGTGTTGATCAGGTGTCGCTCAAAAGTGTCGCTCAGAAGTGTCAATCAGAAGTTGTGCTCAGACGTGCCGCTCAGAAGTCTAGTACACGCTGGAAAATTACAACTTTGAAGTGCAAGTCTAGTGCACGAAGTACAGGTTTCCAGCTCCAGCTGGAAAATCGCGACTTTGTAGTACTAGGCCAATGCGCGAAGTACAGGCTTCCAGCTCCAGCTGGAAAGTCGCGACTTTGTAGTGCAAGTCTAGTACGCGAGGTACAGGTTTCCAGCTCTAGCTGGAAAATCGCAACTTTGTAGTACCAGCTCTAGCTGGAGAATCGCAACTTTGAAGTACCAGTGTAGCGCGCGAAGTGCAGGTTTCCAGCAATAGAGGGAAAATCACAACTTTGTAGTGCAAGTGTAGTACGTGAAGTACAAGTTTCCAGCTCTGGCTGGAAGATCGTAACTTTGAAGTGCAAGTATAGCACGCGCAACTTTGTAGTACAGGTCTAGTACGCAAAGTACAGGTTTTCAGCTCTAGCTGGACAATCGCAGCTGTGTAGCGCAAGTCTTGTGCGCGAAGTACAGTTTTCCAGCTCCGGCTGGAAAATCGCAACTTTGTAGTACAAGTCTAGCGCGCGAAGCGCAGGTGTCCAGGTCCAGATTGAAAATCGTAATTTTGTAGCAACAAGTGGAGCGCGCAAAGTAGTTCACAAGCTGAAAAACATAGTTTGCGCAGTTGGCTTGATTGCGAGCCCCATTGGCTTATACCTAAAAATGTTCTCTCTAATTATTTTCTTGGGTTTGCGCGAAGTGATGTGCAGTCGGGTTCGAGGGCTCTGTCTTGTTTTTCCTTTGTTTGCTCTCTTTCACGGGGCTTGGGTAGGCGCCTTTGGTGCCTCCGCTCCCCAGCTGGGGATGCGCGTTGTTGTTTGCAACTTCCTCTGTTGTTCTGGCCAGAAGGAAGTGATGGAGGGGGGTGCTACTGATGCAATCCAGTCCTGTTGGTGATTCTTTCCTCTGGAAAGGTCTCCGCAAGGCTTGGGTAGCAACGTTTGGCTTTGTTCATCCTGACTTCCCAGGCCGGATGTCAGAAGTTTGTGTTTGCGACTTCCTGTGCTATTTTTGGACAGGACCCTAAAAGTGATGGATGGGGATGCAACTGATGCAACCGAGCTCAGTCGTGCTGGCGCTTCTTGTGTTTGTCTTTGGTTTGCATGCTTGCTTTTGGACAGGTCACCTTTGCTTTGCCTCCGTTTACGGGCAGTAAGCTGTACGCTGATGCGTCTTGCTCGTTTGTTCACACTCCGCGCTGGACTCGAGGAGCTTTGGCCTCTTTTGTTTGTTCAAGTTCTTGTCCCTAGTTGCGATGTGTGCAGTTGTTTGCTTGCAACTTCCCCGTTTCATTTTTGGACAGGTCCCCAGAGACAATGATGGGGGTGCTACTGATGCAATCCAGCTCTGTCCCGCTGATTCTGCGTGTTTTTTGGTCCCAGCCTTTCTTTGGGACGGGACAGGACTTGGGGAGGTTTATGTTGTTCTGCATGGCTTGTGATGCTGAGGATGCAAAAGCGACGACCCTGTGTAAGAGCCCTGTGGCCTACTGGGTAGCTCATTGATCTTCGCTTCTGATCTGAAGTCAGACTTGAGTAGGGACCTTTGGTTTGCCTTTGTTTGTTCATGGTCTTTTCGTTATAGGTGGAGACGCCTGCAGGTTTTTGTTAGCAATTCTCCCCAGTCATTTCGGAAAGACCTCCACAAGAGCCACCTGGGAGCCTTTCGTTTGACACTGTTTGCTGTTGTTTTCCTGGAATTTGCACATCATGCTGGTGATGCTGGCGATGCGGATTTTTTTCCGCAATTTCCTTGGTCATTTGGGACATGTCCTAGACACGAGTAGCGACCTTTCGCTTGACCTGTCGTCCAAGAAAAATAGGAGGTCCCCCGCAGGACTTGAGCAGGGACCTTTGGTTTGCCTCTGTTGGTTCATGGTCTTTTCCCTAGCTGGGATTGGTTGCAGGCTTTTGTTTGCAATGTCCTCGGTCATTTTGAAAGAACCCCAAGACACAAATAGGTTCCTTTTGTTTGACCCTGTTTCCCTAGCTGGGGCTGTAGGTTTTTGGTTGCGGCGTCAATGAAGTCCAGATTCGTTCCCCCACAAATGGGTAAGAGGAGGGGTAATAGGTAAGGAACATTTCTAGTGTCCAACACACCCGTTTGTGTCGGCGGATTTCATCAAAACCAATAGTTTGTTTCTGCTTGCCTATGGAGGCCCTTCTTGTTGAATTGAGAAAGTGCCCAGCTTGAATTCCTTCTTTTGAGGGGACACAAGACACACACGCACACATTTTTCAGCTTGGCTCAGCTCGTTTTTGGTTAAAATTGCACGGACTTAGGTGCGGAGCGTGAAACTTTGGACGTTGAAGTTGGTTTCACTTTCAACTGGCAAGTTAACTTTTTCTTTGTCCATTCTGTGCTGTGTTCGGCATGCATAGAGAAATACAGTCGGTTAAAGTTGGACTTGTTTGAACTGAAGCAGCATTCAAACAGGATGTTCTTCCCAAATCTGATCATCAATAGATGTTATTGACAAATGTTAAGTCGAATTGGACAACACATGTCTTTCATGGGATTGCTTTCCGGATTTGATTTCAAGAGAATACGGTTAGCTAGAATCTGAATGGATTCAGACATGTATACCATCAATTCAAATGCAAATGGAACTGCACAAGGACATGGACCAGATCTATGATTAATATGGAATTCAATTTCAACTAGCAATATAGGAATGATTTGATTTCCCCCAAGTTGATGGTTGCTGAATTTCCTGCAACACGATAAGAGTAAAATACGATGACAGAGCTGGTACAGGCACGCTGAAGCTGCCAACGTGCACTTCGCGTACTACCCTTGTAAGTTTTTTTTTTTTTTTTTTGAGCTGCAAAAGTGCGCAATGTAGTACATAAATGCTATTTTAGATCTAATTAAATGCTACTTTCGAGCTGGAACAGCTCTCCGAAATTGCGGCTCAATTGCCCTCTGAACTGTATGTGATTAGAACGTACCCGGAAGTGAAAAGGAAGTTAGTTTTTTAAGGTTGAATCAGGTTTAAATTGCCTGGACTTAGATGCGAGGCGCAGGTCCGTAGTCTGGAGTGACAAAACTTAGGTCCATGGGGGGGGGGTTGCATATATAAATGTACACAGCACCAGGCAGCAGTCAATTTCCTCTTACAGAGAGTGTGTGTGTGTGTGTATGTGTGTGGGTGCGTGCGTGCGTGTGCGTGTGCGTGTGCGTGTGTGAGTTTGGTCCGAGCACTTGGACAGAAGCCGCGGAGGCAGTTGATTCAGTTCACATGTTTCTGGAGACACTGTTGGGCATTGTCTCCGCTTGCCTCCGAATATGTTGATCGACTTTGTGCTGTTTCTTGAGCCACTTTGTCTCTGGTGCCTTTTCTGCAGGTGTTGAAGGCTTTGGCGTCATTACTGACCCGCTCATTATCGAGCTGGGCTGGGTGATCCTGAACATCGTATCGAAGCTTCCTGTCTAAACACAGGGGCTAGCAAATCCGCAGCTTTGAACTGACAAGCAATATCTCAGCGCGTTTTCTTGAGCCTGCCTTGATTGATGCGATGCTATTCCTAGCAGCCTGTTGCATGACAATGAGAACATGGTGACAGTGATGCAGTAGATTGTGACTTCATCAGTCATGCTTTTGGCTTTTCAGCAACTGCGCGCCAGGTTCACGTTCATCATTTGGATGCAGCGCATGAAGAGACTTGGCACGCGCTGCAACGGCTTTCGGACCTCAGACACACTTGCGTTGCCCGCTTTTGTTGAGGACCCTAGAACCCGGAGTTTGCAAACGGCATGGGGACAGTCTGGCTTTGAAACTCGAGTTACTGTAGATTAACATTGCATGACCTGCACTGCAACTCAGCAGGCAACAGGCACTCATGTATCCAATTCCTTGCAGAAAGCGCGGTCTTGTCTGGCTTCCAATTGCTTGAGTGTCACGCCCTTATGTTGTTTTTTTTTGTGCAGACATGTCATGCAGACGTGTCAGTTCGTTTCATCACACGCATGCAGGTGTGCTTGGGCAGCACTTTTCGATTGTCCTGAAGGGGGCTTTGCTTGTAAGGATGGTGCATCAGCGCAAGCTGGAAGCCGCCAGGGAGCTGTACGGCCTGTCGCCAACGGATGAGGTGGCGGAGGCCGGGCCGGGGCGGAGGGCCAAGGTACGTGCGACTCGCCACGAGGTAGTTGGAGGCGTTGCGACCTTGGGCGATCCAATGTTGGCCTTTGGGGGAAGCACTTTGCGACACACTTTGCGCACGCAGGATGAATTGAGGGCCAAGGCCGGCGGCAGCTTGGCTGCAGGCGATCAACACAATTCCAAGGCCTGAGGGCCATTCATCCACGTGTGTGAGTCTGAAATGAGAAAAATCGGCTGCCCATAGACGAAAACTTGTTTCTTGCCTTCTTGCTAACCATGCTCCCCTCCTCTTTGGAGTCTTGTCTAAAATGGCAATGTCAGCGCAGATATAATAGCTTTTCTTGCGCATTGTCATTTTCATTTGGTTGGGATGGATCATTGTCGTTGTGAATGGGTTCATTGTCACTTTGCCTATGGTAGGTTCACAGTTTTCGTAGACGTGGTTTGATCTTTTAGCCACTACTTGTCACTTTGGCAAGGGTGAGTTCACTGCAACAAGTATCCCGAAAGTGTTTTTGTTCTGGGAAGGGCGGTTCACTGAAAACGCTCTTCTGAACGTTCTTTGTTAGTTCCCCCCTAAACAAAAAACACGTCTGTTTGTTTGGCCCACGAATTGTTGGCATGACCAAGACTGGTTCGCCAAGCCTGCATGATATGACATGTATAGCAAGGACCGCATGCAACACACACGATATTTGTCGTACCGGCCAAGGAAACGTGGGCTCCTGCCTGAGTTGGCGCGTGTGGCAGTTACACTGGGGCTTGGGACAGGCTGTGACGCATCTTTGGACCTAGAACTCAGCACTAGAAGCAGGGAGGCTAGGGCACTAGGCCTTTGCCTCTAGTTAACACATCCCAAGCAGAAGACGCACTTTGTGTGCAAGGTGGCCAGAAGATTTCGACCAACGCCGGGGACTACGGCCTGGGCTATGGTGAGGAGGCAGGGAGCGGGGAAAGGTGCTAGGATCCTTTGTTCTTTTTGAAATAAAGCCCAGGGACTTTGGCTGAGCGTGAGGTCAAGCACAGCGTTTGCCTTTTGGTTTCGAAGGCTGACAGCGAGCAGAAGCTGGTGGAGATTGTGTCTGAGACCATGGTGACTCTCGGTGCTCTGAATGACAAAGTCTGTTTGCTCTCGTGCTTGGTATCTTTGCTTTGTTTGGAGGTTGATAAACATTCGGACGTTCCAAAGCGGCTGTGAGCGGTGACTCGGGCAGGTATGAGTGCTCACACGGACCGTCTGATGCGCCTCATGGTGGAGAATGGCGTCACCAACACCGCGGTGCTGGAGAGGCTCAACCAGGATCGGTCCGACCGGCCCCGGTTCAACGCACGCCGGCAAGCTCCTTTTGATCAGTGACATTCCCTTCCAATTCGATGGATTTCAGGCTTGTTGGAACGGCACTTGGAGGTATTTTGCTGCCCTGGTGCTACACAACCAATAGGTGCAACAAAATATCCGCCAAAGCTGAAGCGTCTTTGCAACATGGTGTGTTGGCACCGCCACTTTTTTGTTCTTACATCCTACATGACATTGGCCTGAGCCGGCGGTTTTCAACTCTAGGGCATCTGATGTCGTCCGACTGCGCTGCCTTCCCGGGCGAAGTTCTCCATTGCCGGATTCCGCCCTGCTCTTCTGCGCTGCGGTTCCAAGGGCGCTTTGCCCAGCACCCTAAGACCGATTGTGACAAGTCGCGTGCCAGGGTTGCCTTTGAAGCCTGGGGAGATCGATTTTGTCAGGAGCGGTGCATGGAGCTGAACCTGCCCTGGGCGCTGGTAGAGGCTTCGCAGCGCCGGTGGATCTCGGAGAAGATGAACATGGGCCAGGAAGCGAACGGGATTTGGTAGTCGCTGCTTTGCGTGGCTATGTATGTGTTGTTTTTTTGGGTCGGATTGTGGGGATTTGCGAAAGGGGAAGGAGATCTTTAGTTTGTGGCAGTTTTCGAAACGAAGCAACCCGTCATATCGTCCCGACATGAAGTGCTTGATTTTGGTCGACATGGAGGGAACCTTGAAAGCCACATGGTCCTTCAAGGCAGGGGTTGGAAGCGGGCCGGCGAATCCGGGATGCCTGAGGGTTGCAAGCTGAGGGGGGAAGGGTTTGCCCAAACTGCGGCGCCTGTCTCTTCCTTTTTGAGGAGAACAGGTCCAAACATCGAGCAGGATTTGGACACCAAACGCCGTGAAGCACAATTTCGGAGGTTTCGCACGTCTTTCTCAAACACATGCGTTGTGGGCAGCTGATTTAAGCAGCAGTAGATGTAGAATACACAGCCAGTGCAAGATGCACGCATTTGCTTGCGTGCTTGGCTTGGCTTGGCTTGGCTTGGCTTGGCTTGGCTTGGCTTGGCTTGGCTTGGCTTGGCTTGCTTGCTTGCTTGCTTGCTTGCTTGCTTGCTTGCTTGCTTGCTTGCTTGCTTGCTGGCTCTCGCTCACTCGCTCTTTCACTTGCTCTCTTGCTCGCGCTTGCTTGCTTGCTTGCTTGCTGGCTGGCTGGCTGGCTGGCTGGCTGGCTGGCTGGCTGGCTGGCTGGCTGGCTGGCTGGCTGGCTGGCTTGCTTGCTTGCTTGCTTGCTTGCTTGCTTGCTTGCTTGCTTGCTTGCTCTTGCTTGCTCTTGCTCGCTCTTTTTTTTTTCCCGCTTGCTCTCGCTTGCTTTTGCCTTGCCTTGCTTTGCGTTGCTTTGCTTTGCCTTGCCTTGCCTTGCCTTGCTTGCTTGCTTGCTCTTGCTTTCGCTCTTGCTCGCTCTTGCTTGCTCTTGCTGGCTTGCTAGCTTTTTCTTGCTTTTGCCGTGTTTGTGCCACATTGTTGCGGAGGGAGGTGTTGAGAGCAGTTTAGCAGCCCCATGCTTGTTTTCATGCCAGGCCGATTATGTGGCCTGGGGACCTGCCAAAAGCTGCTATGGGTGCTAGGAACACCCAGCAAGCAAGCCACCCAGGAACCTGGTCTCAGTTTGCGATTTGGGGTCTCCACAGGACCAGGGTGGCACGGTGGAGAAGGAGGACCCATTCAAGAAGCTGCTGGAGGTGCGCTCGCGCGGACGTTTTGAGTTGGATCAGGCTGCTTTTCTGTTAGGGCCACTACCCGTAAGTGGGCAGAAGTGTGAAGCCAAGTTATTTTCCGTCTGTCTGTCTGTCCGTCTGTCGGTCGTGTGTGTGTGTGTGTGTGTGTCGGTCTGTCGGTCTGTCGGTCTGTCGGTCTGTCGGTCTGTCGGTCTGTCGGTCTGTCGGTCTGTCGGTCTGTCGGTCTGTCGGTCGGTCGGTCGGTCGGTCGGTCGGTCGTGTGTGTGTGTGTGTGTGTGTGTCTGTCTGTCTGTCTGTCTGTCTGTCTGTCTGTCTGTCTGTCTGTCTGTCTGTCTGTCTGTCTGTCTGTCTGTCTGTCTGTCTGTCTGTCTGTCTGTCTGTCTGTCTGTCTGTCTGTCTGTCTGTCTGTCTGTCTGTCTGTCTGTCTGTCTGTCTGTCTGTCTGTCTGTCTGTCTGTCTGTCTGTCTGTCTGTCTGTCTGTCTGTCTGTCTGTCTGTCTGTCTGTCTGTCTGTCTGTCTGTCTGTCTGTCTGTCTGTCTGTCTGTCTGTCTGTCTGTCTGTCTGTCTGTCTGTCTGTCTGTCTGTCTGTCTGTCTGTCTGTCTGTCTGTCTGTCTGTCTGTCTGTCTGTCTGTCTGTCTGTCTGTCTGTCTGTCTGTCTGTCTGTCTGTCTGTCTGTCTGTCTGTCTGTCTGTCTGTCTGTCTGTCTGTCTGTCTGTCTCTGTCTGTCTGTCCTGTCTGTCTGTGTCTGTCTGTGTCTGTCTGTGTCTGTCTGTGTCTGTCTGTGTCTGTCTGTGTCTGTCTGTGTCTGTCTGTGTCTGTCTGTGTCTGTCTGTGTGTCTGTGTCTGTCTGTGTCTGTCTGTGTCTGTCTGTGTCTGTCTGTGTCTGTCTGTCTGTCTGTCTGTCTGTCTGTCTGTCTGTCTGTCTGTCTGTCTGTCTGTCTGTCTGTCTGTCTGTCTGTCTGTCTGTCTGTCTGTCTGTCTGTCTGTCTGTCTGTCTGTCTGTCTGTCTGTCTGTCTGTCTGTCTGTCTGTCTGTCTGTCTGTCTGTCTGTCTGTCTGTCTGTCTGTCTGTCTGTCTGTCTGTCTGTCTGTCTGTCTGTCTGTCTGTCTGTCTGTCTGTCTGTCTGTCTGTCTGTCTGTCTGTCTGTCTGTCTGTCTGTCTGTCTGTCTGTCTGTCTGTCTGTCTGTCTGTCTGTCTGTCTGTCTGTCTGTCTGTCTGTCTGTCTGTCTGTCTGTCTGTTCTTCCTGTTGTTGTAAAGCGATCTTCTATCTTCAGGCTCTTTTAGTCCCTTCCGGATCTTTGAGCTCTGCCTACTTTGCAGTGTCTTGCCGAACCCTTTGCTCGTTACTCCTTTGTCCCTCCCAACAAGTTTTGCAGCTACATGTGCGCTTGGCTACACGTGTCCATTGGACATTTTGGAAGTGTGCTGGCAGTGCAACTAGGCCTGAGTTTCTCACGCATTGTTTGGGCATTCCTTGGATTGCTTTGACTCATGTTCTGCGCATTTGTTTGCTCGACTACTAGCTTCTCGCTTTGGTTCCTCACCCCGTACTGCTCCAACTTGGGCCGCTTTCTTGTGCCAGGCCAACAAGGAGCGCATGACCGGCAAGAGTCTCATGAACGCCCTGCCCGGGATGCCGCCTGGCAGGATATTTGGTGCGAGCAACTTTGCGTCAGACTCCCACTTTCCTCACATTGGGGAGATTCAAAGGCTTTGTTCCTGCTTTGCTTTGTTCTGAACAAATGTGGTGTTGCATGGAAGTCAAGGCATGAGTTCATCCTTTGAGGGCATGGTATCATGATCAGTCGCGGCTTTGAACAGATACCATTGTTTAGTTTCCAGCGAATCCTTTCCTGCTGAGGATGGCCATGTCGTTTTGGCCATGTGTGTCCGCTGCATCTTCAAAATTAGCAGAATCCAACGACTAAGCCCAACTTGCTTGACTTTTGCACTGCAACCCTGAGGTGTTTTTTGAGCTTTGGATTCCATCTACGTAGCATGCTCGCCAAGAGTCCGAAAAAAGGCACTCAATCAAGCTTGCTCCCGGCAACATGGAAGCAAACCAAAGGGGGACGCGGGCGTTGCAACTTCATGGCTTGCTTGCCAATGCGTCCCACTCGGTCTAAGGGCAGGAGGCATGAACACGCCGCCGCTCGCTGGGCAACGTGGCAGCATACAGAGTGAAGGGCTTGCGCCTGAGGCAAGTTGACGCCTTCCCCCGGTTTTGTGTGTTTGGCATCTCTTTGTGCTTGGACAGGCTCGGATAGGCAGAGAGTTTCGCAAGGTGGCATGTAGCTTTTCTCCCGGAAATGAGAGCGCCCAGGATGGGGATGGTGTCCCCGCAGATGTTCGAGGGCAACTGGGGCGCCATGGAGGATCAAATCAACGTGGCTTGGTTTGGATGTGGCAAGCCTCCAAGAATGCGTGGCCCTGTTGCACGTTGCTCGACATTGTTTCGGGTCACATAAGGTAAGAAGGGGAAGATTAACTGCAGGGAATGAAGACTCTCCGCCATGACCTTCCGTTCTTTGTTGCTTTGTGGCGTGTGAGTGTACGCCGTCCGCCACTAGCGGCATACCGAAATGCTTTCCACTTGCCGGATCCCATCCTATTTTGGGGCTCTGAGCACATGCTCGGAACACCACCTGCACCTTTGCCAGAACGCCCTGCAGCGGGTCCTCATGCCCTTCCAGGACTTGGGAGCGATTCAAGTGTGGGCACAGCCACTTCCCTTTCCAGCTGAACAAAGAACATGTGCTTCCACTCCTGAGCCATGTTTGGTTGTATGGCAGTCAGCTTTGTTTGGCGTTCTCTTTGGTCAAATTGTTCGACGAGAGGATGCCGTGATGACAAAGCTCCAGATGATGGAGGACAACATGCAGCGCCAGCTGGAGAGCACACAGGCACGGCTCTCCAAGCTGGCATGCGCATTGCACTGAGTGTGCCTGGCCGAAAATGGGGAAGCGCACTTCCGTTGGTTTCACACATGCAAGAAGCATGCAAACCCACTCGAAGACGGCCCCAAGTCACGCATGGCCGAGCACGGGCATCTTCCTCGTTGCACGCTTCACGTGCGCAGGAAGCCATCTCCCAGCGCATGGACTTCTCACAGGCAGGTCTCTTTTGGATGGGCGGCAGGTTGGGCATGGGATTTGTTTAACAAATTGTGTGGGGCAATAAGCTGGATAGTTCTTTTGCCAGGTTTCGATGTTGGAGTAGTGGAAGGGATTTGGAACCACTACAAAGCTGCGGATCAGACATCACTACTTTCTACTGTGAAACGCCTGCAGCAGCCAAGTAGGGGGAATAATTTGGTCCTTGAATGCAAGAGGTGCGCATGTTCAGACGTGGGTGTCACCCTCACCCTCACCATTACTATCACCATGACCATCACTATCATCCTCACCACCACCACCACCACCACCATCAACATCATCATCATCATCATCATCAGCAGCAGCAGCAGCATCAGCAAAATCAGCATCATCATCATGTTCACAATATATAGCAATAACAGGAATGATAGTAACAAATAGCAGTGCAAGTAATAAACCTTGAGACACAATAACAACAACACATACTGGTAACAAGACACAGAGTAGTAAATAGTAATAGTAATATTGCTGATAATGACAATAATAACAATAACAATGAACATAGTAATAATTAGTATTGTAAGCCTCTCCTAGCCATAACAGCACTAATGATAGGACAGATAATAACAAGAAACTTTGACAATGTACATAACAATAATAATAATAATGGTGATGATAATAAAGACAACAACTACTACTGCTGCTGCTGCTACTACCACCACCACCACCACTACTCCTGCTGCTGCTGCTGCTACTACTACTACTACTAGTACTAGTACTACTACTACTACTACTACTACTACTACTACTACTACTACTACTACTACTACTAGTGGTGTAGTACCAAATGTAAGAATAAACAACATCAGCAACCACAAGGCAACAACAATAATTGCACCAATGAACACTGGTACCAGTAGTGATAACAATATAACAATACAGTCACAGGCCACCAACACCACCATCCTCAGCAGCATCATCAGCAGCAGCAACAGCAGCACTAGCAACAACACCTGCAACATCACCAACAACACCAGCATCCACAACAACCAGCAACAGCAACAGCAACAGCAACAGCAACAACACCAACACAAGAAGCAACAATACTAATGATGGCACCATTACAATGATAACAACGAAACTAATCATCGTCATGAGAACAATGACAGTAATAACCCGGCGATTGTCAGCATCACCATCTAGTTGGTTGTGTTCGGGCCTTAGCAGACTTGGCTTTGCTGCGCGTTTGGTTGGCGTGATTTGTGACCCCGCTCATTCTGCGGAAGGTTCAGAACCTGTGTAAGAACCCTTGAAACTGGGGGTGGGGCCTTTTGTCTCCAGAGGGGAGGCGAGCACTTTTTCTGGTGGCTTGCCAGGTGGCGTTGCTGCAGACGGTGAACGCCTGCCAGGTCTTGTTGCACAAGCTGGACTCCTCTCAGGACGCAAGTTGGGGGGTGCTTCCTCCGTTTCTCCTTTTGTCCAGTGCTCCTTCTTCCCTTTGTTCCTTTCCTCCCCTCCCTCCCTTCCTTTTTTCCTTCCTCAAGGGAGACATGCTGGGCTTACGTCATCAACGTGTTTTGTCTCGTGTAACAACCACTTCGAAAGTCAGATGAGTTCTGCAACGGTCAGTGCAACAGGTGCGGTGATGGTCTGAGTTGGTACCATCATGTTCTTTGCTTCCAGGAGAGCGTCGTGCAGAAGATGGACAACCAGAAGGCTCTTCCGGGGCCATGATTGCAAGCAATCTGCTGCTTTGTTGACTCATCCAGCATTCAGCACTCTTGACACTTGACAATTTTGGCTTGTGTATTAGCTTTAGAATACGTTTGACTGCGCATAGTGCGCCAGGAAGGCTGATCTCGAGCCAAGTGCATGAGCGGACGGAGATCGCTGAGTCTCCAAGAGCACAGGCATGGTGCAGAGGTGATTTTGCAAGCCAGGTGAGCGTGGACAACCTGCTGGGCAGCATTTCAGGCGCCAGTTCTTGCGGTGATGTCAGCTGTTGCCTGCGAGAAGGTTGCAGCAACTGGGCCGATGAATTACCTGTTGAGGATTAAAAGCTGACTGGGTTGAAAAGTGAGGTCCGCTTGGGCCATGTTGCGGCAGGCGCGAATGACACCACCAAGCAGGCCCTGTTAGACACTGTGCGGCTCTCAGCGCTGCCACTCAAGCTGATTTCTGACTATGACATGGACTCTTAGCGCGTCAAGTGTTCGAGGGTAAATAAATGGGGTTGCTGGATGTGTCGGGATTGGCCTCCAATGCAATGGCAGCCCTCACTCGGCAGATTGGTAGCAGCTGCGGAATTGCGAGATCCGGGCAATGTCCTCACTGCTCACATGATCTTACATGGCTGGTGGGCCCCAATGTGGACATTGGACATTGCTCATCTACTGCACTTTTTTTTTTGGTTGTTCTTTTTCATCATTTGTCCCATGGAGTTGGCTGCTCAGACTGCTCCGTGCCTTTCAGACCTCTACACAGGAGTTTCCACAACACAGCAGAGCAACTAAGCAAGCATGACCATCCGCGCAGAGTTTGACCATGCCTTAGGTTGTGGTTCATTCCTTTCGGACAGAGCAGTGGTCAAACTCTGCATCCGGCTGTGGCCAAATGCGAACGTTTATTTTTTTTGCACTTCAAATTCGGTTGCGATGTTTCTAGTGATTGGTTTCTAATCGCTTTTCACTTTTGGAATCTCGAGTAGTGCAAGATACTTCAGCGGTTCTTGGCATAGCCTTTTTCACGCGATTCACAGCCCATCTCCCACCTATAGCGGGCCGGAGGTGAACACCTCCTCCAGCTTCTTGTTGCAAAAGCTAGACTCCACCCAGCAGGCGTGAGACCGGTGCGACTGGGACAGTTTCCGGGTTCTGTGGCTCTCCCAATCTGCGTGCAGTGATCACTCATTTGGTGGTCTTAAACACGACCCTGGCTTGCCTTGATGGATCGTTTGTCGCCCGGTTTGCAGAGAAGGGTCACATATGAGTCAGCTTCAAAATTACCGTCATTTGCTTTATGTAGGAGTATTTCATCCACATTTTGCTTTAAAAACGATAAGGGACGTGCAACAAACGATACCCCAAAGCCTAGGGAAAAAGCTGAACAACGATACGGGACATACAGCGCTGTGCAGCCAAAGTTGGTGAGTTCCGTCCGTTCGACCTTGCGGCCGCTTTGAAATTGTAGATCTGTTTGCATGGTTTCTTTTGACTCCACAGTTTGATTCTGCGGCTACGCCCAATGCGTTCTTGGAAGCTTGACAAGCATTTGGCATTTGCAGCTTGGATTTGTGACATCACAGAAAACATTTGGTGCATGATTCAAATGGCGTTGGGTTTGCCCCAAAGAGAGCACGGCCGGTTTTGCAGTTTGTTCAATATCAGATTTCAGTCTCCATCCAATATGCTAGTGGCATTTTGTGAAGCGTTATGCAACGTTTGGGTCATGCACCGGAGCATTTGACACGCTGGACCTGCTTCGACGTTGGCTGCAGGACTTGCTGAAGCAATCGAACGAGTCTTACGCAGTACTGCAGAAGGTGTCCGACAAGCAGGAGGTCCTGGTCAAGAAGGTGGACTCAGGTGAGGGCCCTTTGCTTGAGCTCATCTAGTGGATGATGTGGGTGACAGACTTTGCCAAGCGTCGTTTATAAACTTCTAAAGCTTTTCATCATACACAGTTGACCTTCAGGGAACCAGGGCGCGAGAAGAGCCACTTGGTAAGATGAGTACTACAGCGTAATGCTCAACCCAGAAATGGCAGCTGAAGAACAGGCTGCCGGTGGATGTTCCCGGAAAGGGGGGAACTGTTAAAGACCGGCTGGCTTCCATTTGGTTGCCCGGGAGCCAATTTGAAAGGGCCCCCGTCTCTAGCCTTTCGGGGGTGAATCTTATCTCGCAGGCAACGAGTTTACCCAGCGCCGCTTGGTGGAGATGGAGGCGCAGCGTGGCGCGGTCGCTTCGCTTTTGAAACGGGCTTGTTTCTTTTTGAGTGCTTGAAGAGGCCAGAATGGGAGTCAACCCGTTTGGAGAGTGCCTTCGAGACAAATCCACATAGCAACCTTCCGCTGCAAGATGAGTTCTTTCAACTCAAATCAAATGTTCTCGAAACGGATGGCGGTTGAGCCAAGCCTGCGCTTGGAAGACTCGGACTTGGCAGCTCAGCAACTTCTGATACATGATGTGCGAGCTTCCTTCTGACTCGTCTGAAACTGAGCCGTAGACATCCGGACTGATGACTGGGTGCTCGGGACTGCACACTGACAGGGCACTGTGGACCGCAAGATGACAGAGGTGAGCGATTCCGTGTGCAAGAACACGACCGAAAGTGGCTTGGGCAGCATGGGTGATTCCCAGGTTTTGTGGTCAGATTCCGTGAGCGTCTCTGAGCCGGCAATGATTGTGCATGTTCCAGAGCCTTTGCGGTTTTTTGGATGGGCTTGACTTTATGCGGCCATGCTGCTCGCTCGTTTCCTCCGCAGTTGGCTGGATGGAGCAGCGCTGGCTAAGGGGATGTGGAGGAGGTGGTCTCAAACCACCCTCATGGATCACTGGCAGCCCAAAACGGACAGTTTCCTTTCCGAGTTTCCCTCGCAACGCTTCCCTCACCGTTGGGATGCGAGTGGCTTGTCGAGGCTCCACGAAGCTGCTGACCAGCCTGCGAGGCGATCTCTCCACCCTGGCCGCCCAGGCGCCAGCGCGCGGTTTTGGCCCCGCGTGTGGTCCGCGCGTCTTGCAAGTAAAGCTCCGGAGGGTGCCAGGGGTGAGGTTCCCTGGTAGAAATGTCCGGGGGGCCTGAGGGTGTTCTTGGCGGCTCCATTTGAAACCTTTGTTGGTTCAGGAAGTTCTGTCAGTTGTTTTTCCAGAGCGTGGTGCTGGGCTGTTCAAAGGAATTGTCATTCATCCCTTTCCTGTTTTGTGGTTTTCTAAAAGGGTTCTATTAACCCGGATTGAGCAGCCCGGACATTGCTTCCGTTCTCGGGCTGAAAGCTTGCCCCAGCGGGAAAAACACAACAAACAAACCCAAAGCAATCCTTGAACTGGTTCTGTTTAGGAACACCCCGAAACCGATGGCAGGGCAATGCCATGGTGGACGCCACCGAGAAGTCCTCTGCGGTGCAGGAGGCCACCGGCCGGGCCGGAAATGGAGGGGGAGGGAGGTGCGACGTCGGTCGGGGAATTAGCCCTTCTTTTTTTTGAAGCAAAGGGGCTGAGGGTACACAAAATAAGCGCAAGTTTGATGCTTCGGACCTGTCATCCATGGCAATTGATGCCTTGCAGCGGGTCCCAATGAATGGAGCTGCATGTAGATGCCTGCTGACCGTCAGGACGTTTGAAAGGCTAGAATCAGGCAGGCTTTTTGAAGAAATCATGCAAGGTAGATTCCCCCAAGATGGTCACCCATCACGCTGCGCAATCGGCATGGGACGGCATACACTACACAGCTGTGCTCGCACGCGCAGACACGCACACAGTCACACACACACACACACAGGCATGCGAAATTCTGGCTAGGAGCGTATGGCTGATGTCCGTCGCCAGAACATGATACTTGGCTGAGACTGGGAGCCGTATAGGTGGAATGGCGCACCATGGCTTTCTGGAGCAGAAGTGTCAACATGGGAAATATGTGCTTTACCACTATTGCTAGGGATGGCTGCCAAGCTGGCGACTACTGTTTGGACGGTAAGCAAGTCATGGCTATTCCTCATGAAAGGAGATCGGATGTTGGGGGCGCCAGTTGCAAACGTCTGCCACGACAAATGAGCACAATCGACATACCAGCAGGTGGATTGTCGAGGTCCCGTTTGCTTGTTGTGCTTGTTTCTGTTGGTTTGCAGCCCGCTTGATTCTTTGATTCTGCATTTTCTTTTAAAGCTGCCTGGTCGGTCGGCATGCGGATGCATTGGTCCAGGGACAACAGCTTGAAGAGCAAACAGTTGCGCGTGGTTGGGTTGCTCCGATGTATTTATGAAGGTAAACAACTAAGAGCATAGCGAGACAACAAACGCAACCACAACAAGGATGATCATGGACATGCTGACCAACGCCCAAGAGACCATGCACACCAGCGCGGAGTCGCTGCAGAGCTTTACGCGCTCAGCGCCTCGGCAAATGGCGTTTGGATCTCCCATGTGCCGAACGGCAGAGGGAAAGGCGCGGGATGTGTAAAGCACAAAGGCTCAGTTGCACATTGGTAGGTTAGTGTTTTGATCACTTCCAGCGCTGTTTTCCGCGATTCAAGAAACCACGGTCATGTGAGGGCTCAATTCGGAACCCAACACGCATGGGCCTCAATACCCACTTGCTCGGCTTGCAAGCTCCGGGCAACCATTCAACTACCCAACTCCCCGCCGCACCGTTCCTGAGAGCTAAGGAGATCATGCGGGACTCTGCCACCAACATGGAGATGCAGCTCCGAGAGGCCATTCGAATTTGTGCCTCTTATAGTCACCAACTTTAGTATGAAGGGGCCCCAACTAAAGGAGTTTAGACTATGGCGCAAATGGCGGATCCATGAGGTTTGGGGCTTTTGTGCTTCTGTTGCTTGTTTTCTTTTGAAGTTGCTACCAGGCCTGAGCACTCATGACAGGATATCAAATATCAATGACCTTTTTGCGTTAACAGTGCTGTTCAAGAGTAGAGCAGATTTGACATTTCAACAAATCGCAGTTTTGGCAGCTACAATTTGGCCAGAGACAGTGGCTGCTAAGGCAGATGTGATTTGTCAGCCCTGGCAGGTTATTGTGAAGCAGATGAGCAAGTTGCAGGCCGCACAGTCAGAGCGGGGGGAGTGGGCCACGGGAGCTGTTTGCTTGGTAGCAGGTTGCACCTTAGGAACAGTTGCAACACCAACTTTTAAAGAAACCAGCTTGCTTCTCTCTCAGAGCCTTATGCCATATGCTTTCCTGGAAGGTCGGACATATAGGCAGAGCACTTTCCCCTCTTCCGCTGTAAGTTGCTTGTTGCTTTGCGACATGTTGTCTGGAAGTCTTAGTGTTGTGTCGATGTCCAGTTCTGGATCTGAAATACAAGCATTCTGGGGTTCGCAAGCGAGAAGAATCAGAAGCCGGCTGCCCACATGGTTGTGACCCCCAGCTCGTGCCGTGAGGAAGCCTTGCTGGGCGAGAGCGACCAGGAAGATGGCCAGGCCAACCTCAAGGCGGGCAGATGCGCGTGGGGACTTAAGGGCCAATGTGAAGCAAGCTGATGGTCCTGAAATTCGATGCAAATCCACAGGATTCATCAACCGCCGCTTTGGTCACGGCTTGACAACTCCAAGTCGCGAGCGGAAACACATGACAATTCTAGAGGATATCATGGCCCTCATGGCCCTCACTAGCATGAAGGGAAGCCTTCCTGGAAGATCATCGCGCTTCAAAACAGGGAACCTGTCAGGTTCCCCATTTCTTGCAGGCAGTATGTTGTTTGCACTTGGCTTTCAACAAGCGGTGGGGAAGGGGAGAATTCCGGGTCCATGGAAATGACAAGGCAGATTACGGTTGATGTTCATCACCTAGTTGCTTGTGGCTAGCTCATTTCTGTTCTTGCATTCCATGTCTTTTTCTTTTGTGGCTAGCCGAATGCAGATTTCTGTTCTGCATTCAGCGTTTGTGGCGGCCGCACTATCAGCGCTGTCTCCCGAACAGGCGGCGGTGAATGCCATGGTGGAGCGTCTGGAGGTGCGGAAGGGCATGTTCCAAGAAGGGAAGGTCTTGCTTCAATCTGTTCATTCACGGTATTTCAGTGACCGGGTCTCGGCTACGACAAGAAGCTCCAATGGCGATTGTGTGTATGTGTGTGTGTGTGCGTGCGTGCGTGCGTGCGTGCGTGCGTGCGTGCGTGGGTGCGTGCGTGCGTGCGTGCGTGCGTGCGTGCGTGCGTGCGTGCGTGCGTGCGTGCGTGCGTGCGTGCGTGCGTGCGTGCGTGGGTGTGTGTGTGTGTGTGTGTGTGTGTGTGTGCAACAACTGCTGCAAAGGGTTCGGTCTTGGAGTCGGTTGCCACCATGCGGATCGCTGATTCAAAAGTACCTTGAGATTGGCGATGGCACCCCTGATGAGGAAGCCTCTGTCGAGCGAGATTGCCTCAAGATAAGCATGTCAAAGCCCCTTTTCTTGCTTGTTGCGTGTGGCGTTTGCTTTGTCGTTTGAGGATGCCTTTGTGCTTGTGTGTGTGTGTGTGGGTGTGTTGAATTTCGCCAGCACGATCAGCTTTCATTCACGCTTCCGTATGAAGTCATCGGAAAGGAGGTTTCGCTGAGGCAGGCCAACCTTCTCAGACGTACATTGTGTCCTTCTCCCCGTTGGAAGGCACAGATGTGTGCTCTTGCAACTCACAAACGCGCAACCTGATTTTGAGCCCCTGAGGCAAAATGTATGCAAAGAGACTATATAAGAGTGAATCGTCGCGCATGTTGTTTCTTTCAACACTTGCATGGTAGCTTGGACCCAACATCCCCCGAGCTTCGGCCCGGGCTTTCCCTAGGACAGCGCCCGCCGCCTGGAGATGGCTTCCGCCAGCCAGCAAGAAGGCAAGTCTAGCGAGCCAAGCGCTGGGATCTGGGCTTAATTTGAGCCTCTTATCGTTGGGCGTTTGACAGGCATCCACGCAAAGGAAACCACATGCAAAAGACGCTGCAATCTGGGCGCCCCCTCATTTTGATGTTTGACTGCAGGGCAGACGTGGTTGATGGTGCCGGTTTCCAGACACGCACAGAAGGCAGATGCCACAAAGAGCCATGGCTCTGCTTGTAGTTGTGGAGGGTGTCTAAGCCACGCAAATCAAGAGCGGCCAAACCACACATCAGACATCCGGCGCAGACAACAAGTCCGGATGCCTACATGAAGCACCTAGATGATGGGTGGACAACCTATTCTTCCATAATTCAAGCTTACATATCAAAGCGGGTGCTGCAGGTGAAGGCGGCAATGACACTGAGGACAGGGATGCCGAGCAACAGAGACCTAGGGCATAATTTCTGGATAGGGCAACATTACGGTTTAACGGTTTGCGCAAAGAAATCACAGCCCTTTGATGACAAGCTACGCAATCCCATGGTTGCATCGGTTTGCATGATCCCCAAGTAAGTTCCCAGTTGTGCTCTTGGCAGAGCAAGCGAATAAGTACAGTACGCGTGCCTTTTCATCGAGGTTTTCCAGCTAAGCTTATGAAGCACAACTTGTGGCCAGGATTCTCGCCCCTCCTATCATGGCCTTCTTTGATGAAGTTCAGTGGATGACTTCACTCATGATGTCCAACATTGGGAAGGAGGCTTGTCTCCTTTGTTATATACCGGGTGACCCCCATAAGTCTAGCCAAGCGTGTGCAGAGTCCTGCATACCGCCCTTTGTGGTGACTCAAGATAAGAACGCAATGCCTTGATCCCCAGAAGCATGGAAGACAGACCAGGGCGCCGGCCGTTTGGTACGTGCTTCACTGTGGGAGGAGCTGATCCGGCGGGAGCTTGCGGCAGTGGCGCTGGCGCTGTCGCAGCAGCAGCGGGAGGTTGCCCAGGAGAGCCTTGCGCAGGCGGAAGCGAGGGGTGCAAGAGCTCGTCTTGTTCTGCTCGGGGATTGGTTCGGGTTGGATGGCGGCTTGAAGCGGGGTGGGGTTGCAGGAGCTTGTCCACCCATCAGATTTCAGCGTGTTTTCCGTGATTGAGTGGGCTCGTCGTGAAGTACGTCCTTGAATGAAATTGCGGATCCAGGGGTTGATCCTGAATGGCTTTCATTTTTTGTTCCTCATCGTCCTTTGCGGCGCACAACGGGGAGGAGGCAACCCGTTCCACCCAAAAATCATGCGTAACGACTTGTTTTGGGAATAATTTGTTTTGAATTTTCACATGCACACATTTTTGGACAACTGGGCTTGCATAGAAAGCGTGCGCAAGATTGGCGCTCTTTTCGCTAGCTTTGGACAGGCTGGGTTCGCAGGTAAGCCTTGAATTGGCATGGTTGGCCGTTTGCTTGGTGCTTTGCTCGTAAATTATTCTTGGTCTCGAAACGTATCAAATCGGAGATATGCTCATCTACAGTTACAGCTAAGGATCACCTTCATTTTGCACGTGCATGCTGTGTTGGGTCTGCGCTGGCTTCTGCAGTGCTACGCGTGACATTTACTGAAACTATTACCCGGCTGTCGGCAACCTGCTAGGCAGGTTGAATGAAGGTCCAAGAAGCAACACGTTCTCACACGACCACACGGGTGTTTTTCTTTTGAGGGGACGTAGGCTTAGGTCCCATGCAGTCAACCGAGAGGAAATTGACCGCAGGGGGTTCCACACCCCATCTGGAGACATGCTACACTTTGCAGAGGGCCTCTTCTCGCCAGGTGGGTGAGGCCGTGCGCGGGGAGCTGTCTTCCTTCCAGGCCCGATGAAGCGACCGGAGCTTGAAACCACCCCCAGAGCTCATCATGTTGATCGCAGGATTCACAGACTCACATGTCTGGCACGCTGGCCGAGAAGGTGAATGAGCTGGCGCAGGTGATGAGAAGCTTGTCTTAATCTGCATCCTTCACCCTGCATGTGTTCATTTGCTGCCTGCGGACGCACCCCTGAAATATAGCGTGCAGCGGAATGTGGCTTTGCTGACAGTGGGGTGACACTTTGAGCTGCTGAGGTCAGAACATGGAACGGCTGGAGACGAATGTTGACAAGGCTTGCAGAGTTGACCCTTGCGTGGGTTGTTTGAAAGGGAAACAGAAGGGGAGTTCCTTGACCCTTCCCTCAATTCTGAGTCGCATCTTGTTGCCTGCTTGGGCTTGCTTCTCTCATGCTGTATGCAAGTGCAAAGGTTGACACAGTGAGATGCCAGGGTTTCAACGAGGTTCGGCCAAGCATTCCGATAGTCTGGTTCATTGGGAAGACTGGTTCATTGGGGAGAGTGAAGGGGGACATGAAATTTCCAGCAACAACTCAATTTCTTATGCCCAGGAAAATAGCGGTGATTTCCCGTGGCGCACATCCCACTGGCCTTCAGGGCGAGTGCTAAGCTGTTTCGGTCCCAGATTCTGTGTGCCTTTGAGCAGTGCCCGAAGCAATCGAATCGAGGGGCTTTGCACCCAAGAAATTTCATCGGGAATGATGCAGGACCATCAATCTCAATGGCCCAAGTCGCGAACGCACAGATGTTCTGGTCAGCACGCAATCGGTTAGCTAGGGGCGCCAAGAAGCGTCAATCCTTTGACAAGGCGTTTAGAGACAATCGTTAGGTTGAACTGAGAACTACTTGGATCCAGCTTGTTTTTTGTTAGACTCAGTGCGGAAGTTTCTGGGAACCTCACCAGCAGCATCACCGAAAGACCATTGGCATTTGTGTCGGAGGCTTATGACACCAGCATAGATCGCATTGACGACTGACGCCCTCGGCCCGAAGGTGCTGCAGAGCGTGGAGACCAAGGCGCCGGCGCCCGAAGGGCGTCGCACCTCCGGCCGGGGCGAACGTGGTTGAGGCCAGGCCCAGATGGGCCGATGGACGTCGCCAAGGCTGCTCTATTTTAAGGAAAGAGGCCCTGGCCATTGTGGAAAAGAGGTTTTGCTGGTTTAGAGATAGTCTTTTGCTGATTCATTTGGAGCCTTTCGAGAGATGCGGATTCATTGTGAGAAAACTGTCCGGTTCCTCCTCTGAAGAATCAGTAGGGACACCTGTTTGGAAGGCAGAACTGGTCTTGGTGTTTTCACTTTCGCGGAAAGCAATGGCCCACGGGTGCATGCTGCCCAGGAAGTGCTCAGCCTGTCCGCATGTGAAGTGTCTTTGCCGCAAATTATACGGCCATGGGTCAAAACCCTGTACCCCCAGTGAACATCCCAATCCCCACTAAAATAGACTAAAATGGGTGGTGCACCTATCCCAAAATGGTACCATCAAAGCCATGGCAATATTTACAGGATGTTGCTTCTGCATCTGCCAATTCGCTTGCGTTGAGGTTCTAGCATGAAGGTTCCAGGTGCATGCTTCGTACCCCGCTCAGGTCATTCGGGCCCTTGCTCGGCCGGCAGTCAGCATGAAAGCCGTTGGTGCTGCTGAAAGTCACCCCACGGATGCCACGCAAAATTGTGGAGTCCGAAGGCGGGTTGTGTTGAAAGCGCGTCATGATGTTCATAGCGCATCAGTTCCACATCAAGGGGGTGAACTTGTTGCCTGCCTCAGGGATTGCTTCAAAATGAACGTCCCTGGGCAGAAGAGTCATCAGTCAGCAGCAGACCTTTCAGTCATTGAGACCTTTTTTTTTTGGCACCATTGCAGTGCAGAACATGTACAGCGTGGCTGCTTTCCAGAGGCTTACTTGATGTGAGGAGGTTTTGAGTCAGCTGTTCCTCTTGATTTTGCCTGTCCGTACAGCGGAAAGAGCCTCTCTTTGTCTCTCTCTCTTTCTGAAGACATCATCGCTTGGTGTTTCATTGGCCAAGTTCAGGCATCAACGACTCTCAGTCCGCATCGTTGTGTGGAGCACGAGAGTCTAGCCTGAAGCGTTTGTTTGAATCGAGGTTTCGCTTCTGCCTGCCCCTGGACATTTTTAATCTAGTAGCCCAGCCGAAGGCCCGAAGTCCGAGTGCCCGAAGCTGGGGGCTAGGGGCCTGCCCAAAGCAGTGCAGTTGCAAGTCTCCATGTAACTTCAGAGCTCGGCAGCAAGCGCAATCCGCGCTTTCCTTGTCAGACGAGGAGTTCCCCTCCCCATGTTTCCAAGTTTCCGAAGAAGGGCACATAAGAGTTGAGAACGGTGAAGATAAGATCGGGCCCGTTGGGGAGGCAGATCGTCTTTGGCGGAGCTCTGACCTTTGTACCTCCTTGGAGCTGTGGCCGTTGTTCCCAGACGAAAAAGAGCCCGTGCTTTCACTGCGGAGCGCTTGGCTTGGTATGCAGGTGCCTTTTGAGAGTGAAACTTTCCATTCTGACTGGCACTTTGCGCCGGCCTGTTGCTTCATTCGATCGTGACTAATCCTCCAGAGTGCTTTTCTTCTTGGATCGCCTGGGAAGTTGAATGATAGATTCTGACTGCTGGTTTGCAAGTGGGCACGAAAAGGAGTCTCAACGAGTCGGACGTCTTTCTACTCAGGTTTGACTATGGCGCTGCTTGGGTGTGGAGAGCTTTGAGATACATTTTCGGCTGTACCTCACCGGCAGCGCTCAACACGAGTCACGGCAAAGCTCAACACGAGTCACGGCAAAGCTCCAAAGGAGTTGTCGCCTCAGTCAAAACTTGCGCACAGGCTGGCAAGCAGCTTGAACACTGCGCAGTGTGGGCAAAAAGGAAGATGTTGCGCTGGAAAGCACCTGAACCATTTTGCGACGTTTGTTTATTAATATTCTTCTGCTTCCGGGCGACAAGTTTGCGCTGACTGCGTTTCTTCTTTACTTCCTTTGACCGTTGCAGGGAACGGGAGATGAGCACCTGGCTAGGCAAGCTGGTGCCTTGGCCGCAATGCTTGAGGGTGTCCTTTGGGGGCCGCAGGGTGTTGGGGGGTTTGGGGGGTGAGGGGGTGGGGATTGGACAAGGTTGTTTTGGTCGGCTTCTGAACTATCAGCTGGTTGTGGACAATTTAGATTTGAAGAAGCTCTCACTTCCGCCGCACTCTGTCCCAGATACACCGTACGAGTTTTGCAAGCGCCAATCTTCTGTGCTATGCGCGCGTGTCGTATGCTCGGCTTGAAATGTCCTTTGTGAGCACATTGACATACATGGACGTCTTGTGCGTGGAATATGTTACATATCCGTGGTGATTGGATATTCCTTGATTCTGGAGCCTGACAAAGGTCCTTGACAAACATGACGGCGCTCATGATAAAGTATGTTATTGATTTCAGGTTGGTGAATCTTACATGATATTCCATCCAGCTTGATTTGCAACATTTGTCCGTGTTGAAATTCAACGCGTGCATATACACATGTGTATATATATATATATATATATGTATTATACGCATTCTGAGGACATTGTTAGGTTCAGATGTGAATCTTGCGATTCCCATGCCGTATCGCAGCGCGATTTGATGTCACATACACAATCACTTGCTTAGCTGCTCAGCAAGAGGCTCCACAGGCAAACACCTCCAGTCAATGGTAATGGAGTTTGGATGGCCATCCATACTTTCGAACAGACACCAGCCTTGAAGAGCCGTTTTAAGCGCTTGGGAGCCGCGCTGATAGGAATCAGCCTCAGAGGCTCGCACAGACCCCCGTTTGGCTATCCAAAAGCGTTGGCAGTGAAAGGGGAATGCCCCCTCTTGCTCAGCACAATGGGACCGCACTGGATTCTGATGCGCTCAAGGCAGCGCTGGGCGCCGCATCTTTCAGTTGGCATGGGACACACCTTAGTGGGAGGATTGTGAAACAAGTACAAGTCCCCGAAAACCTGACGACGCCCTGCCTACCTTAGGACCAGCTGCAGACGCTGCAGCACGTGCAGGCAGCGTCACGGCGTCACGCCTTCAGCTTCCTTCGTAGCTTTGGCGACGCTGCTTTTGCTGATTTGGGCACGACTTGCGGGGCGGGTTGTCAAGAGTCAATGTTTGTTTTGTCACTTTGCGGAGGCACTTGGCGCGGAATTTAGAGGACTACATACACCATATATGTTTTGGCCACTCCTGCCCGGCCCCGCTCAACAAAAGACAGAAGCCGCATTTCTGTTTTGAATTTATGCACAGCAAAAAGACACATGCCACCCCTTGCAAACAAGGCGGCCAAAATTTAAGCATGACAGTCTGTTTCAACGAGACGAGGGTTCGGGGTGGGTTGTGTAGCTTGCTTTGTTGCTTCGCTTTCAAGCTTGATTTATGCGCTTGCTTTCTTGCTTGCTTTGTTGCTTGCTTTCTTGCTTGCTTTGTTGCTTGCTTTGTTGCTTGCTTTGTTGCTTGCTTTGCTTTGCTTTGCTTTGCTTTGCTTGCTTGCTTGCTTGTGTGCACATGTTCCACGCCAGGCCTGCAAAGACCGGGAACTGGTTTACTTGCGAGTCGCCGCCTGGCAGAAAGGATGCACCTGTATTGGCATCTCTTCTTTGGCACTTTGCTGTCGAATCCCAAGTTCGCAAACCTTGTCGCGGCCGCCCTAAATCGGCAAGTTGCCAGGAGGCCTATGCTGATTTGTGCACAACCCACTCAAGTCCTTTGTGTTTTGTTTTGCTTTGTTATTTTGCTTTGTTGGTTTGTTTGTTTTGTTTGTTTGTTTGTTTGTTTGTTTGTTTGTTTGCTTGTTTGTTTGTTTGTTTGTTTGTTTGTTTGTTTGTATTTTGCTTGTTTGCAGGGGCGTGGCGCTATGGATGTTGATCTACCCGAGGCGATGACGATCCGGCGCCTGGAGGAGGAGTCGCGGCGTTTTGAACTAAAGGGACTTGTCTCGAAAGGGGTGAGTAATACACGACAAAAAGAAACAACGAGCATCCAGGGGGAAAAAACACTGGAAAGTAAAAACGTTGTTTTTGTACGACTTAGTCTAGGGCCAAAAGAATTGTCCCCCACTTAGTTTGGTTTTGAGGGCTTGCAATGGGGTGGGGCACTTCAAAAAGGACATGCTGTCTAGTTGTGATAGTAACGAGGCGTGCAATTGATTTTGCCCCTTAAACTATTGGTTTGGGGAGGACACAGCCAATTCAACAAGTGCTGTGTTTGTTAGGGTTGGGTCGTGGTCAGTTTTTAGGGGGACGCGATTCTTCATTTCGGACATGTTTGGCTGGTGCCACTTTCCACTTGCGAGCACAAGCTGAATTTCGTTCCAGAAAATGCGGGAACTGTCACATGTGGCCCATGAGGCTGGCCCCTGTTTCAGGACCAGGGGGTGGAGCATCGCTTGGTGACAGCACGTGCCCGGCTCTCTGGATGCCTCCTTTCGACTTCGGCTTGTGGCCATGGTTCAGATGTTGCGAAGTAAGCAAGGCTGATCACTCACGATTCCAGTGCAGTGCCTGCAGTGGATGCTGTTGGTACTCACGACTCTTGGCATGAGCGGATCGCTCTCACAATACTTCAGTTTCCAGCGGGCTGCTTTGAAACTGACCACTCGTCCCACATGAAAGCTGCTCTCTTTTGTCCGTATTGCAGTCTCTCACTGACGGTCCGTGCTTGAAGGGAGGACACAGGGCGACTATCCAATTTTTCCGCGAATGCCTAGGGACAAGGCTGTCTCAAGAGGTCGACCTAGAAACCTCAAAATCAGGGAATCATCGCGAAACCTCCAGAGAACCTTGAAACAAGCTTGCCCGCATTACCTCAGGTGCCCCCTGAGGGGAATGTGATCGGCTGGCCCTTAGTCGATCCTTTGTCTTCCCGAGGCCCGCCAGCACGTGGAGCAAATGCGGACTTTCCTGGCCTGAAGCCCAAGTTTTGGCTCTCAGCATCCCGCCGTGGAACCCAATTCAGGCTCCGTGCTTGCCTTTGCGAGAAAAAACATCTCCCTTAGGCTTGGAATGCTCCCCTCTGACCCCTCAGGATGAGGTGCCTTGTTACAGGCCTTGGAGAGAGTTTGGTTCTTGGGTGTGACGTTGCCGCTTCTTTGCACTCCAGATCTGGCTGCGAAGACACGTCCGAGAATGGGTGGGTTCCCCTTGTTGTTGATTCGGAGATTGAAGGGCAACTAGTGACTACCAGCAACCTGTTGCCATTTCGACAGCCCCTGGTCTTGATACAGCCCAACATGCTGTGAACACGCCCCATGCGCATCCTGCCCTATCCCCTTCACCTGCCAGGCAAGGCAGGCAAAGGTAAATTTGAGGATCTTGACGTCAAAGGCCGGGTCCCTTCTGTTGCCGCGGCGGCGCTGCTTTGGGCTCAGGAGAAGACGCTCCGTACCTCTGGCGTATGCTCAAGCGGGGGCTCCGAGACATCCCGAGGTCACTTTGCAAAAGCGGAGCAGAGATGCAGAATCCTCGAAAGTCGAAGGTACACAAATTACTCTTCTTAAGCAACATCCTCGGGAAGATCGGTCGGGAAGGAGACGGGAAGGAGACCAAGAGATTAGGGCCCCAATCAAACAGGTTGTTCTTTGTTCAACACCGCCACTGGATAATTTTGAGGCATGCTTCCCCCTTTGTTAAAAAAGAAAAGAAAACACTGCGATGGAGAGCATGTGAATCTACATACTGCAGATATGGACATGATGGGCATCACGCCGGGCAGCATGCGGTGCCGACTGGAATTGTGCTCATGGAGTTTTGTGGCTTGACCGGATCAGTCAACTTGCCAGTCCTGTGGTACATTCCGGCAAGTGATGCTGTCATGTGGCAGAGGCATTTGTCACGCTATGGAAGTTGTCGAGACTCGGCCATTTGTAAATGAGGACCACCCTGGGAAAGTGGTTGGCGGA